CCAAAGTGTCTGAATCAAATCAGCGTGAGGACCGATATACAATTAACCCATGATACACTATACACGTTCCGTGTAGGGACGCACTTCTCGGCTTCGAAGGGGTTAATAATTCGCTCCTAATCGCTCGATTAGTCCAGCTGGATAGAATGTCTACCTATGGAGCAGATGGTCGTGGGTTCGAATCCTGCATCGGGTATTGTTTCAGATCCTGTCGGTGCTGCTTCGTCAACACACGACGTACAGACGACACCTGAGGCATTCGAACTTTCGCGGGCATAGCCCAACGGCATAGCAGGCCGCCGCCATAACCACTCGGCCAAAGTGTCTGAATCAAATCAGCGTAAGGACCGATATACAATTTACCCATGATACACTATACACGCTTCGTGTAGGGACGCATTTCCCGGCTCCAAAGGGGTTAATAATCTGCTCCTAATTGTCCGATTAGTTCAGCTGGATAGAATGTCTGCCTACGGAACAGATGGTCGTAGGATCGAATGCTGCATCGGGTATTATTTGAGATCCTGTCGGTCCTGCTTCGTCAACACACGACGTACAGACGATACCTGAGGGATTCGAACTTTCGCGGGCATAGCCCAACGGCATAGCAGGCCGCCGCCTTAACCACTCGGCCAAAGTGTCTGAATCAAATCAGCGTAAGGACCGATATACAATTTACCCATGATACACTATACACGCTTCGTGTAGGGACGCATTTCCCGGCTTCAAAGGGGTTAATAATCTGCTCCTAGTTGTCCGATTAGTTCAGCTGGATAGAATGTCTGCCTACGGAACAGATGGTCGTAGGATCGAATGCTGCATCGGGTGTTATTTGAGATCCTGTCGGTCCTGCTTCGTCAACACACGACGTACAGACGATACCTGAGGGATTCGAACAATTTACCCATGATACGCTATACATGCCGTTTACGAAGTAGACAAGGTTAGTTGTCAGCCGTATCGGTGTCACAACGGCGTGCGGGACACGCGCGCGTTACAAGATGCTCGGGTCGGTGTAACCGTTGGCGTAGCGCGTTGCGCTGTTACGGCCGGTTTACGTATCTCATAGTTAAGCGATTTTATTCCTCTTTCTCGGCCCTTCCCGCCACTCCCGGGGCTGGATCTCGTGAGTTCTCCCATTCCGCAGCCGCGCTTCGGCCGGCTCGCTGCGCATTGGGGGGAACCCACGCGATCTGGCGTCACCCGCTCGGAGCACTTTCATCGGAGTCCCAAGATGCGGCCTGCAGTCCGGCCCAGCGTACGGGTCGCAGGTTCAGCGTTTTCGGGTCTCAGGTTTGGTGCTCTCGCGGGTGCGCTGCCTGTTCCCATACTCCCCTGGAGGGCTTAATGCTGTAGATCGAGGCTGTTAAACTAAACGTTCCGTGTAAGGACGCACTTCTCGGCTTCGAAGCGGTTAATAATCCGTTCTTAATCGCCGGATTAGTTCAGCTGGATAGAATGTCTGCCTACGGAGCCGATGGTCGTAGGTTCGAATCCTGCATCGGGTATTGTTTCAGATCCTGTCGATGTTGCTTCGTCAACACACGACGTACAGACGATACCTGGGGGATTCGAACCCTCGCGGGCATAGCCCAACGGCTTAGCAGGCCGCCGCCTTAACCACTCGGCCAAAGTGTCTGAATCAAATCAGCGTAAGGACCGATATACAATTAACCCATGATACACTACACAGGTTCCGTGTAGGGACGCACTTCTCGGCTCCGAAAGGGTCAACAATTTACTCCTGACTGCCCGATTAGTTCAGCTGGATAAAATGTCTGCCTACGGAGCAGATGGTCGTAGGTTCGAATCCTGCATCGGGTATTGTTTCAGATCCTGTCGATGTTGCTTGGTCAACACACGACGTACAGATGACACCTGAGGGATTCGAACCCTCGCGGGCATAGCCCAACGGCTTAGCAGGCCGCCGCCTTAACCACTCGGCCAAAGTGTCTGAATCATATCAGCGTAAGGACCGATATACAATTTACCCATGATACACTATACACGCTTCGTGTAGGGACGCATTTCCCGGCTTCAAAGGGGTTAATAATCTGCTCCTAATTGTCCGATTAGTTCAGCTGGATAGAATGTCTGCCTACGGAACAGATGGTCGTAGGATCGATGCTGCATCAGGTATTATTTCAGATCCTGTCGATGTTGCTTCGTCAACACACGACGTACAGACGACACCTGAGGGTTTCGAACCCTCGCGGGCATAGCCCAACGGCTTAGCAGGCCGCCGCCTTAACCACTCGGCCAAAGTGTCTGAATTAAATCTGCGTAAGAACCGATATCCAATCAACCCATGATACACTATACACGTTCCGTGTAGGGGCGCACTTCTCGGCTCCGAAAGGGTCAACAATTTACTCCTGATTGCCCGATTAGTTCAGCTGGATAGAATGTCTGCCTACGGAGCAGATGGTCGTAGGTTCGAATCCTGCATCGGGTATTGTTTCAGATCCTGTCGGTGCCGCTTCGTCAACACACGACGTATAGACAACACCTGAGGGATTCGAACCCTCGCGGGCATAGCCCAACGGCTTAGCAGGCCGCCGCCTTAACCACTCGGCCAAAGTATCTGAATCAAATCAGCGTAAGGACCGATATATAATTCACCCATGATACACTATACACGTTCCGTGTAAGGACGCACTTCTCGGCTTCGAAGGGGTTAATAATCCGCTCCTAATTGTCCGATTAGTTCAGCTGGATAGAATGACTGCCTACGGAACAGATGGTCGTAGGATCGAATCCTGCATTGGGTATTATTTCAGATCTTGTCGGTCCTGCTTCGTCAACACACGACGTACAGACGATACCTGAGGGACTCGAACTATCGCGGGCATAGCCCAACGGCATAGCAGGCCGCCGCCTTAACCACTCGGCCAAAGTGTCTGAATCAAATCAGCGTGAGGACCGATATACAATTAACCCATGATACACTATACACGTTCCGTGTAGGGACGCACTTCTCGGCTTCGAAGGGGTTAATAATTCGCTCCTAATCGCTCGATTAGTCCAGCTGGATAGAATGTCTACCTATGGAGCAGATGGTCGTGGGTTCGAATCCTGCATCGGGTATTGTTTCGGATCCTGTCGGTGCTGCTTCGTCAACACACGACGTACAGACGACACCTGAGGCATTCCAACTTTCGCGGGCATAGCCCAACGGCATAGCAGGCCGCCGCCTTAACCACTCGGCCAAAGTGTCTGAATCAAATCAGCGTAAGGACCGATATACAATTAACCCATGATACACTATACACGTTCCGTGTAGGGACGCACTTCTCGGCTCCGAAAGGGTTAACAGTTTTCTCCTAATCGCCCGATTAGTTCAGCTGGATAGAATGTCTGCCTACGGAGCTGTTGGTCGTAGGTTCGAATCCTGCATCGGGTATTGTTTCAGATCCTGTCGGTGCCGCTTCGTCAACACACGACGTACAGACGACACCTGGGGGATTCGAACCCTCGCGGGCATAGCCCAACGGCTTAGCAGGCCGCCGCCTTAACCACTCGGCCAAAGTGTCTGAATCAAATCAGCGTAAGGACCGATATACAACTTGCCCATGATACACTACACAGGTTCCGTATAGGATACCCATACGAACGCAGGCCGACTGCAGCTTCCCATCCAAACCTCGCCGAACTAGACTCCTTTTGCCTTACCGATGATATATGTGGCTAGAGGACTAAGAGGCAACAACAACCAAGTCTTTGCGATGAGAAGTGAGCTGTTCTCTAGGGAAAAAAACCATCCGAAAGCCCTAGAAATTTCCGATCTAGTGAGGCCGCTCTCGTCCCAACATTCACACTTTGAATGCTTCAGCTCAGCTGTGGACAGTTTTTGACCGGACTGTACCAACAGAATGGTGACAGCAGCATTTCCTGCTTCTCCGCTGAAGTGCAACGCTCTAGACCTCGCCAGTTCCGTGTAGTCCGTCAGTTAACACGACCCGAAGATGAAACGAACTAGAGAAACCGTGTGTGCTATTTCACAACCGAAATGGAGGGCACTCTGATAATACAGAAAACAATAAGTATGACAAGATACGGATTACAACTTGGCAGCAACAGATAAAGATAACGATAACGTAACCAGTATGCACTCTGAATAGGAAGTTGTGGAACATAACAACCGCCGCAACCACGTTACAGTGGCGGTGATGGTGGTAGTGGTGGGAGTACTTCTCACCAGTGACCAGCAATATGCGAGAATATATGAAAATACAAAATCTAGTACTTCAACGGTATGGCTCGGGTCTTCCCGAATCGAAGGGTCGAGTGCCTCGTCAGTATCGGTACTGGGAGAGTCCCCATTGAGGATCTAGGCGCTACTTACACGGCCAAGGCCGGTCTGTATTCGGTAACTCGCGACCTTCTTGCGATGGTGTATAGCGCGACGTCCACGGAGGTCACTGCGCATATCCTAGGCGACATCCTCGACTCAGACGTTTACTATCGCCTTCAACCGGATCTGCCGCGAGCGGTGGAGTTGGACGAGGCTGATGATGAGAGTATGGATGAACTTATCAGGATTGCTGAAGAGTACGTTGCGAGATCTGAGGTTGATCAACGGCTAAGACGGATAGCGAGGAAGCTGTTTGACTCTTCGTTATCACGCAGTAAGTTATAGCATTGACATTAATAGGGTTTTTGTGTCTTCTAGTGGACTCTAGTGGTCTCCCGCATTGCGTAGATGAGCGGGAGTCGGCGTTGGGCTATAAACTCACAGACATTGATTCTTCACTGGTCACCTGTTAGCATGTTACTGATTTTCTCATACAGTTTTCATCTTCCAAATCCTGCTCCGCAACACGTTGGTCGTCTGACACGACCCACCGTGAGCATCCTTAGCTGCATGCTCTCAATCGCAGCAGGAGCCTTCTTGGTGATGCTGTTCCTCTGGTGCTCGGACAATTACAGCCTGTAATTACAGGGACCCTGTAATTTACAGGGTCTTGACAACGTTTGCGATATCCGCGATGGGCGTTCGGTCGAGACTCTCGACTCGAGAGCGATCTGCTGCGAAGGGCCCAACGGCTTAGCAGGCCGCCGCCTTAACCACTCGGCCAAAGTATTTGAATCAAATCAGCGTAAGGACCGATATACCATTAACCCATGATACACTATACACGTTCCGTGTAGGGACGCATTTCCCGGCTTCAAAGGGGTTAATAATCCGCTCCTAATCTCCCGATTAGTTCAGCTGGTTTGAACTGGATGGTGGTAAACTTACCTGGTAACTTAAGGTCGGTGGTAAAATAAGGTCCGCGGTAGGCGCCTATTCCTCACAGATCCGCCCGCTTCGCGGCCGGATCTGAGAGGAATAGGCGCCTTGGTGGCGTTTTCTCGCTACTTTTAAGCATTTCTGCTATGGGAAGATCGTGGATCTGCTCCATCTGACGTCTACCGCGGACCTTGATTTTCTACCGCGCCCCTTATTTCTCGAGTAAGGTCCGAGGTCTGCTTCTCTCTCCTCTATTATTGATCACACCGGATGTCTGTTTCTCCAACGAAGTATCCCAGCAACATTGTACACAACATGGAGGACCCTGTATACCAAGAAGCCCTCGCAACTTTCGGCTGTGAATGGCTGTCGGGGTTTTTGTCGGCGAGCCTCGGGGCATGCTTCGCGGCTCAACCTTTCGCCGAGCGGCCGATTGAAACCACCGGCATGGTCTACGAACACGAGGAACTGGATAGCATATCTGTAGCAGTAAACGCCTGGGATTCAGGAAAGGAATCGGGGAGCCGATCTCGAAAGCGTGCAAGGAGCAGGCCTCCTGAGGGCGTAGCAAAATCGAGCAAGAACTCCAAGGGACGGCAGTATAGGGTCTGCAAGGAAATTCTTCGGAGAGGCTTCGACGAGCACGCGTATGATGGGAGCGCTCGAGGGGTTTGCCCTCTGCGTGATGCCGTTGCGAGAAAGGAAATCAAGGGGCATGAATACGAGATGCACGAACAGACTGAAGCTGCTATCCAACGGGTTTTGATTTCCGCTACTCTACAGGGTGCCGATAGGCCAGGCCGTAAGTGCTCGAAGTGCAGACGTCCGTACAAATCCTGGTTAACTCGCGATGGGCGTTCGCTGAGTCACCGGCAATTCCGGTTACAAACGACTGACAAGAAATATACTCAAGTTATCTGGTGCCCTCTTTTGGATAGTGAAGTGGAGTTAGATCTTCTTTTCGCCGAGCAAATTCAGAGAAAGCGGGACCGCTGGAGGGCGGCGAACGACAGAAGGAAGAATAAATGGAGGATGTAGGTTTTATTGAGCCGTTGACCTCCATCATGCTCATGCTGTTCACCGGATCCTTGCTCCGAGTTGGCATCAGGCACACAGGGGACCGGTGTGGAAAAGGTATTCGAGCGTCACGGCGCCGCGCCGGCTTTCGGGCGGCCAGCATATTCCCGGGGCATTGGGTATCTTGTTGAGCGGCAAAGCTCGGCACCTTTGCCCTCGTGGTCGAGATTACTGTTACTCTCCTCTTTCGGTGACTTTCTCTCCTCCCCCTTTTTCCTCTCTTCTCTCTTTCTTTCCTTTTTCCTTTCTCTCTCCTCTTCTTTCTCTTTTTAATTTTCCCCCGCGCCTGGGCGCCATTTTCCCCCTAGCCTAGTTCAGCTGGTTTGAACTGGATGCCTACGGAGCAGATGGTCGTAGGTTCGAATCCTGCATCGGGTATTGTTTCAGATCCTGTCGATGTTGCTTCGTCAACACACGACGTACAGACGACACCTGGGGGATTCGAACAATTTACCCATGATACGCTATACACGTTCCGTGTAAGGACGCACTTCTCGGCTTCGAAGCGGTTAATAATCCGTTCTTAATCGCCCGATTAGTTCAGCTGGATAGAATGTCTGCCTACGGAGCAGATGGTCGTAGGTTCGAATCCTGCGTCGGTTATTGTTTCAAATCCTGTCGATGTTGCTTCGTCAACACACGACGTACAGACGACACCTGAGGGATTCGAACCCTCGCGGGCATAGCCCAACGGCTTAGCAGGCCGCCGCCTTAACCACTCGGCCAAAGTATCTGAATCAAATCAGCGTAAGGACCGATATATAATTCACCCATGATACACTATACACGTTCCGTGTAAGGACGAACTTCTCGGCTTCGAAGGGGTTAATAATCCGCTCCTAATTGTCCGATTAGTTCAGCTGGATAGAATGACTGCCTACGGAACAGATGGTCGTTGGGTCGAATCCTTCATTGGGTATTATTTCAGATCTTGTCGGTCCTGCTTCGTCAACACACGACGTACAGACGATACCTGAGGGATTCGAACTATCGCGGGCATAGCCCAACGGCATAGCAGGCCGCCGCCTTAACCACTCGGCCAAAGTGTCTGAATCAAATCAGCGTGAGGACCGATATACAATTAACCCATGATACACTATACACGTTCCGTGTAGGGACGCACTTCTCGGCTTCGAAGGGGTTAATAATTCGCTCCTAATCGCTCGATTAGTCCAGCTGGATAGAATGACTGCCTACGGAACAGATGGTCGTAGGATCGAATCCTGCATTGGGTATTGTTTCAGATCCTGTCGGTGCTGCTTCGTCAACACACGACGTACAGACGACACCTGAGGCATTCGAACTTTCGCGGGCATAGCCCAACGGCATAGCAGGCCGCCGCCTTAACCACTCGGCAAAAGTGTCTGAATCAAATCAGCGTAAGGACCGATATACAATTAACCCATGATACACTATACACGTTCCGTGTAGGGACGCACTTCTCGGCTCCGAAAGGGTTAACAGTTTTCTCCTAATCGCCCGATTAGTTCAGCTGGATAGAATGTCTGCCTACGGAGCAGTTGGTCGTAGGTTCGAATCCTGCATCGGGTATTGTTTCAGATCCTGTCGGTGCCGCTTCGTCAACACACGACGTACAGACGACACCTGGGGGATTCGAACAATTTACCCATGATACGCTATACACGTTCCGTGTAAGGACGCACTTCTCGGCTTCGAAGCGGTTAATAATCCGTTCTTAATCGCCCGATTAGTTCAGCTGGATAGAATGTCTGCCTACGGAGCAGATGGTCGTAGGTTCGAATCCTGCATCGGGTATTGTTTCAAATCCTGTCGATGTTGCTTCGTCAACACACGACGTACAGACGACACCTGAGGGATTCGAACCCTCGCGGGCATAGCCCAACGGCTTAGCAGGCCGCCGCCTTAACCACTCGGCCAAAGTCTCAGAATCAAATCAGCGTAAGGACCGATATATAATTTACCCATGATACACTATACACGTTCCGCGTAGGGACGCATTTCCCGGCCTCAAAGGGGTTGATAATCCGCTCCTAATTGCCCGATTAGTTCAGCTGGATAGAATGTCTGCCTACGGAGCAGATGGTCGTAGGTTCGAATCCTGCATCGGGTATTGTTTCAGATGCTGTCGGTCCTGCTTCGTCAACACACAACGCTCAGACGACACCTGAGGGATTCGAACAATTTACCCATGATACGCTATACACGTTCCGTGTAAGGACGCACTTCTCGGCTTCGAAGCGGTTAATAATCCGTTCTTAATCGTCCGATTAGTTCAGCTGGATAGAATGTCTGCCTACGGAGCAGATGGTCGTAGGTTCGAATCCTGCATCGGGTATTGTTTCAGATCCTGTCGATGTTGCTTCGTCAACACACGACGTACAGACGACACCTGAGGGATTCGAACCCTCGCGGGCATAGCCCAACGGCTTAGCAGGCCGCCGCCTTAACCACTCGGCCAAAGTGTCTCAATTAAATCTGCGTAAGAACCGTTATCCAATTAACCCATGATACACTATACACGTTCCGTGTAGGGACGCACTTCTCGGCTTCGAAGGGGTTAATAATTCGCTCCTAATCGCTCGATTAGTCTAGCTGGATACAATGTCTGCCTACGGAGCAGATGGTCGTAGGTTCGAATCCTGCATCGGGTATTGTTCCAGATCCTGTCGGTCCTGCTTCGTCAACACACGACGTACAGACGATACCTGAGGGATTCGAACAATTTACCCATGATACGCTATACACGTTCCGTGTAAGGACGCACTTCTCGGCTTCGAAGCGGTTAATAATACGTTCTTAATCGTCCGATTAGTTCAGCTGGATAGAATGTCTGCCTACGGAGCAGATGGTCGTAGGTTCGAATCCTGCATCGGGTATTGTTTCAGATCCTGTCGATGTTGCTTCGTCAACACACGACGTCCAGACGACACCTGAGGGATTCGAACCCTCGCGGGCGTAGCCCAACGGCTTAGCAGGCCGCCGCCTTAACCACTCGGCCAAAGTGTCTGAATCAAGCTAGCGTAAGGACCGATATACAATTTACCCATGATACACCACAGGTCCCGTGTATGTACGTACTTCTCGGCTCCGAAAGGGTTAACAATTTACTCCTGATTGCCCGATTAGTTCAGCTGGATAGAATGTCTGCCTACGGAGCAGATGGTCGTCCTGCATCGGGTATTGTTTCAGATCCTGTCGATGTTGCTTGGTCAACACACGACGTCCAGACGACACCTGAGGGATTCGAACCCTCGCGGGCATAGCCCAACGGCTTAGCAGGCCGCCGCCTTAACCACTCGGCCAAAGTGTCTGAATCATATCAGCGTAAGGACCGATATACAATTTACCCATGATACACTATACATGTTTCGTGTAGGGACGCATTTCCCGGCTTCAAAGGGGTTAATAATCTGCTCCTAATTGTCCGATTAGTTCAGCTGGATAGAATGTCTGGCTGCGGAACAGATGGTCGTAGGATCGAATGCTGCATCGGGTATTATTTCAGATCCTGTCGGTCCTGCTTCGTCAACACACGACGTACAGACGATACCTGAGGGATTCGAACAATTTACCCATGATACGCTATACACGTTCCGTGTAAGGACGCACTTCTCGGCTTCGAAGCGGTTAATAATCCGTTCTTAATCGCCCGATTAGTTCAGCTGGATAGAATGTCTGCCTACGGAGCAGATGGTCGTAGGTTCGAATCCTGCATCGGGTATTGTTTCAGATCCTGTCGATGTTGCTTCGTCAACACACGACGTCCAGACGACACCTGAGGGATTCGAACCCTCGCGGGCATAGCCCAACGGCTTAGCAGGCCGCCGCCTTAACCACTCGGCCAAAGTGTCTGAATCATATTAGCGTAAGGACCGATATACAATTTACCCATGATACACTATACACGTTTCGTGTAGGGACGCACTTCTCGGCTTCGAAGGGGTTAATAATTCGCTCCTAATCGCCCGATTAGTTCAGCTGGATGGAATGTCTGCCTACGGAGCAGATGGTCTTAGGTTCGAATCCTGCATCGGGTATTGTTTCAGATCCTGTCGATGCTGCTTCGTCAACACACAACGTTTAGACGACACCTGAGGGATTCGAACCCTCGCGAGCATAACCAAACGGCTTACCAGGCCGCTGCCTTAACCACTCGGCCAAAGTGTCTGAATCAAATATACAACTTGCCCATGATACACTACACAGGTTCCGTGTAGGGACGCATTTCCCGGCCTCAAAGGGGTTAATAATCCGCTCCTAATTGCCCGATTAGTTCAGCTGGATAGAATGTCTGCCTACGGAGCAGATGGTCGTAGGTTCGAATCCTGCATCGGGTATTGTTTCAGATCCTGTCGGTGCCGCTTCGTCAACACACGACGTATAGACGACACCTGAGGGATTCGAACCCTCGCGGGCATAGCCCAACGGCTTAGCAGGCCGCCGCCTTAACCACTCGGCCAAAGTGTCTGAATCAAATCAGCGTAAGGACCGATATATAATTTACCCATGATACACTATACACGTTCCGTGTACGGACGCACTTCTCGGCTTCGAAGGGGTTAATAATCCGCTCCTAATCGCCCGATTAGTTCAGCTGGATAGAATGTCTGTCTACGGAGCAGATGGTCGTAGGGTCGAATCCTGCATCGGGTATTGTTTCAGATCCTGTCGGTGCCGCTTCGTCAACACACGACGTATAGACGACACCTGAGGGATTCGAACCCTCGCGGGCATAGCTCAACGGCTTAGCAGGCCGCCGCCTTAACCACTCGGCCAAAGTGTCTAAACCAAATCAGCGTAAGGACCGATATACAATTAACCCATGATACACTATACACGTTCCGTGTAGGGACGCACTTCTCGGCTCCGAAGGGGTTAATAATTCGCTCCTAATCGCCCGATTAGTTCAGCTGGATAGAATGTCTGCCTACGGAGCAGATGGTCGTAGGTTCGAATCCTGCATCGGGTATTGTTTCAGATCCTGTCGGTGCTGCTTCGTCAACACACGACGTTTAGACGACACCTGGGGGATTCGAACCCTCGCGGGCATAACCCAACGGCTTAGCAGGCCGCCGCCTTAACCACTCGGCCAAAGAGTCTGAATCAAATCAGCGTAAGGACCGATATACAACTTGCCCATGATACACTACACAGGCTCCGTGTAGGGACGCATTTCCCGGCTTCAAAGGGGTTAATAATCCACTCCTAATTGTCCGATTAGTTCAGCTGGATAGAATGACTGCCTACGGAACAGATGGTCGTAGGATCGAATCCTGCATCGGGTATTATTTCAGATCCTGTCGGTCCTGCTTCGTCAACACACGACGTACAGACGATACCTGAGGGATTCGAACTTTCGCGGGCATAGCCCAACGGCATAGCAGGCCGCCGCCTTAACCACTCGG